CAATTTCCAGGAATATAGGGCATCAACGCGGCGCAATGATAATCGCGCTTAGTTATGTGAAATATTATTAATTTTATAATAATTATATAATATAATTAGCTTTGTTTCAAACGAGAATGTCACATTAAGAGAAAACGTTATTAAATATAGGTAGTCAAATTCTGGCTCGCCAAACGACCATAACTCCTCGAGTAAACACACTGACAAGACAACACACTGGATGCAATATACCTGTAACTAAACACTGAATGAACTACATTTGTAAAACCAAATTTCGTCAATTAGGTCACATGCACGCACACCCTGTATTGGGTGTCCCAAAAATCCCAAAACCATTGAAATCAACCATAACTATAGCTAGAGTTGGGACCCACCCACAAGTGTATATTAAATAAATGTTTGACATGCATGCATGAGCATTTTGATGCATGATGCATAGCAATAAGATTTGTTTGTATACCTACAAATGATTTTTATTTCCAATACACAAATTTTAAATTTTTGTTGGTCTCACGAGCAAAAATTCGCGAAAAAGTCATTCAAATTTTAACAATAGGTGCTTTCAATACACCACATACAAATTAGTTTGAATAGATGTATGCAAATCAGTTATATGGTATTCTCTACCATGGTCGAATATAACTGAAAAACGGTATTCTCGACCGTGGTCGAATATACCGAAAAACGGCATGTTATGGATGATTTCAATAGTTTAGGGGTTTTTTCAGGGACCGCGGAGCAGGGTGGCTCGCTGGGCTTTAATTAGCCCCACCAATAGTTTTTTTCGTAATTAGTCTTTAATTTCGAAAATTTTCGCTCAAATTTGCAAGCAATATTTTTAGCAATTTGTTTTTTTTGCTTACATGCAAGTATATGCAGTGTATCTGACACCGCGGAATTGAAAAATACTAGCAATTCTCAATACTTAGGCTTCAAACTTGGTGAGAAAGAAGATTTATAGATACTATACAAAATATGTCTTGCACAAAAGATTTAAAGCTTGCACAAGGAAAAAACGAATCATCTGAATTGATAAGCTTGCGTATACTTTAAGCCTCAAAATGGCCATTTCACAGCTGTCAGATGTGTATGATGAGCTGTCAAAAGATTGCATAATGCGTATTCGGAAGAAAAACCGAACTTTTTAAAGTTATTCAATGGTTTTCTCTTTGATTGCGATACAGCAATGCACAAAGTAAACCAGTGATCAAATTTTCGGGTTGTAAACTCGACCGTGATCGAGTGTATCGTTTCCCGGTATATTCGACCATGGTCGAGTGTACCATTTTCCGGTATATTCGACCGTGGTCAAATGTGCCGTTTCTGCGTATATTCGACCGTGGTCGAGTATACCGTTTTCCGGCCATGTTCGACCATGGTCGAGCTAGTATACCGTTTGCAAGTTACAACTTTATATAGATGTTTATATGCGCACCAAACATGCTTGAAACTTTACGTAGCACCATGCAGAATTAGAACATTTTACCTGCGTGGTTATCCATATCAAACTTTTATTTGACATCATAACCAAAGCATGGTTATATTGTTTAATGTTTGTATATGCATAAGCGCCAAACATGCTGGAAACTTTACAAAGGACAAGCATTTGACCATTTAACCTGCGTGGTTATCCATATCAAACTTTTATTTGACAACATAACCAAAGCATGGTTATATTGTTTAACGTTTGTATATGCATGAGCGCCAAACATGCTGGAAACTTTACAAAGGACAAGCATTTGACCATTAAAACAGCGTTGTTATCTATATCAAAATACTTGACATCATAACCAAAGCATGATTATATTGTTTAATGTTCATGTATATAAGCGCCAAACATGCTGGAAACTTTACAAAGTATCTCCTATTTTCCAATAATCCTAAAATTAATTGAGAGGCATTTGCGGCCGTTTCAGAGGCCTATGTATATTTCAAAATTTTCCCGGACTCTCCTAGCAGGCGCGCGGTTCAGACCCCAGCAATACGAAAAACGCTCCGCGGTCACTGTTTTTGGAGCACATGCATGTTTTTTTTTATTTTTTTTTTATTTTTCGTCGTCGCAAGTCTGAAATGGCGCGAAATATTTTAGTATTTGAAATGTTTATGTGACCGTATTTATCTACGTCCCAGTCTTATCTCCCAAGAGTTGTGGTGCACAGCTTTGGCTAATTTTTCGATGCGCGATTCGATTTTGCTCGCATGATATACGGCAATTCCGCCAAGAGGAACATTAATCTCGGACGTCACTATACTTACCCGTGTGGATGGTTAGGTGCAGACGTGGCCACTACCCTGACACTATCAGTTACTTGGATTCAGGTCCGCATTACGTGAGTCTGCTTAGTCCGGACCTGACCACCAACGGTGGAATTTCACCAAATTTCACCACTCCAAGTAACGTACTCTGATTTTTCCTCTACCACCCCCGAACCATCCACACGATTTCACAAGACCGTAGGTTTATCGACCGACGCCGTCGTTATGCGACCTAGCCTCGCCAGGCGTCGCTAAGCAACGCTGGGTTTAAATAGCAGGGGACCGCACCCCACTGCTAAGCAACGCTGCTATGATTCAATTAGCCCAGGAACCACGCCCTGCTGCTAAGCCTCGCTGGTAAGATTGAATTAGCAGGGGACCACACCCCACTGCTAAGCAACGCTGCTATGATTCGATTAGCCCAGGAACCACGCCCTGCTGCTAAGCAACGCTGGTAAGATTAAAGTAGCAGGGGACCACACCCCACTGCTAAGCAACGCTGCTATGATTCGATTAGCACAAGAACCACGCCCCGCTGCTAAGCAACGCTGGTAAGATTAAATTAGCAGGGGACCGCACCCCACTGCTAAGCAACGCTGCTATGATTCAGTTAGCCCAGGAACCACGCCCTGGCGTTACATACGCTAATGGCTTCCTTGCGTGCTCATCCCTCGCTATATCCGCGCCTACCTGAGTTATGAGCCCCGTCCCAGGCCCTTCGCTGCCCTTGTGCCCAGTCCGCGCGCGGTTCCTGCGAGATTAACCTTGGTTACTGCGTAACCTCATAATAAACCGTTCTTTTGATGTTGTTCGATTAAGTTTAGATTGAATTGGGGTAAGAATATATTTAATACATGTAGATTCTGGCCGTCCTATTTTAATGAACTGAAGGATCAAGGACGTTATGAAAGAAGTGCTTCCGAACGGCTAAAATGAATAAATTTTTAATCTTCACAAGCAGCAAGAATGTTTGAGTGGTTTTAATTGACATCAATGACACGTCGCTTTCAAAGTGATAGCTGGAAGCACTAGCTATATGCCGAATAACAACATATCGCCCCTAAAGTGACGTATGGCGTAGCTATAATAATAATACAACAAAGTATTCTTGTGTATGGCACACTGCGATAGTACAACTTATCGTCCCTATTTTGTCCACTTACGCCTGTATCCTAAAAGCCCTTGACACTCAAACTCCGTTGAGCTAGTGCATGGAGATTTCAATCTTGTCAAATGACTTGGTCTTTACAATGTCGCAAAGCCCCATTTACACTGCACTCAATTTTTTAGTTCGGCATAGCTACAAGTTCCTGTTATTAAAAATGATTAGTCATCACTGTCATAGACAACCTGGAGAACAAAGTGCTTTGTTATTTCGCATAAATTTTTCCCTTACTGGCTACCAACAATGCCTACGCGTCGTCCGCACTGTCGGTGCATGATTAACGAAATAAGGTTTAACAAGTAACAACACAGTGAAGGATATACAAGTACTCACAACACTAGTGTCAGTAGTAATGTCTGTAATAAGAACTAAATATTACGCAATATGGATAACGCATTGAGACCAACAAATATAGAAGACGTGGTTTTTAAATGCCTTACGGTGGCAAGCTCACAGGTAAGCAAACAATTCATCAATATCAATTATTAATTTGACAGTTCCCTTCGACATAAAATTCTCGCAATGAGTTATGTGTGTATAAAGTTAATGATTTTACAAGAAAGGTTGGGGTTATGTTGCACATTTCCAATAATCACGTAGTACGAATGTATCTTTTGGTACAATTTTTTGTGTTTGCATTCAAATGTTTTCAAGCCGGAAATTCTAACCGTGGCATACATGGCTCTAAACTATAATGTTTAGCATTACGACGTTGCCTTAGATATATGTCAAAGGCGACAGCTAGTCAGTTTCGGGCGCTACGGGCTACGAGCCTACGAAACTCTCATGAGGCGAATCGAATGCACATGGACTTAAACATTAACTTTAGGTTTGGCATAATTATGAGAAGTTCGATAGAAATAGGCCGTTGAAATAGGCCTTCCAAAAGTCTATAAATTATATAACGAATATAAATAATAGCACGAACGGCTCTATACTTCCTAAATTTTTGTAGTTAGCCAACTTTTTATAGTATTAGCTAATCTAGGAAACATTAATTTTCCACATTAAGTGTTTTTGAAACAACTACCGGTGATATTCGGACGTCAACACAATTATATACATACGGCCCCTTCTATGTTGTGCTACGAATTGGTGCGACATTAAACAGCCGCTAATACTCCGAACTGATCATGCAATGTGTAATCAATATTAATCATAGGTATATGATATATATAATATATGAGATATTATATCCAGTTGCGAGAAGTTATGGATTTTATGTTAGCGAATATGTGTTACTAATGTCTACTGTACTGCAGTACAATTAGTGAATACCAAAACACGGCACAAAAATATTTGCATAAAAAAACCAAGCAGTACTTCTTAGAATCATAATAATTTGTACTGTCGTCATGTTACCTGCACAAAATATTTTCTCTTTGGACCCAGTCGTCCCTATGCCTCCCTTTCCTAACCGTGAATTACGAAATCCGTAGTATAACGATATGACTAAATTATATAGCATGCGTGAACAGGAGCTCGCAAAACGTCACTGCACACTAGGGGAACTTGCTTGCGCTAATGTTCACGAGTGATTCTTGTCTTGTCTTTCGCTGCAGAACTTTCGTGGAATGGCAAACAACTGCGTTGTTGTTTATGGATCCTACTTTAATTGAATTTCCTAAAGGCTTCATGGATGATAACGGAAATGAGGTTAATGGTGAAAACAAGCCGAACGGTAGCCAGACACCATATTATAACGTTAAATCACAAGGACACACCTACGTTGGGGACGGTACAACAGTCAATATTAGTAAAGATAAAAGAAAAACCACAAATGTGGTAAATGTATATAATGTGAACATCGTGCAGCCGAATACTGATGACAAAGAAGGTAATACGAGATGATATGAGGCAGTATATATAAAATTTACCATTTTGCAGGCGAAAACACGTACAAATATAATAAATTTGGCGCTACCAACACTTTTTAATGACATATTTTATCAGATGTATATATTCCTGAATATGAAATTTGGACACATTCCAATCGAAGACGATTGTTTTATTAAAATTCCCTCTTTTAAGTCAATCAAGATGTATTAATTCTGTTCTGCAGTTTCAGATGATTTGTATAAGAGGCGTTTTTCCTATTTTTATTTTGTTCTGTATTATATTGTATTGTTTTTTTGTTATTGTTGCTCAAGTTTTATTGCAACTTCTTATGATACTCCTTAAATATTAGTATTCTTTATTTAATATATCAATGACCACCTGTCTTGATTAGTCTTCATATGGTTATAACAGGGGGGAGCACTTGTTTTTCTGTAAAAAAACTACTTTCTGTTACTGTAAATGTTCAAAATTATTGCTAGATTTCAGTTTCTTTGGGATAACCAATAGCCTCGATATTCAGGTACTTTAACTTTAAAATTAGGCTGTAGATATCACGGCCGAGTTGAACGAAACAGGATTGGAGAGGGGTGTAATGTGATAGTGATCTTTTTCTCCATCCCTGTACGCTAACAAAGTTTAGTGAAAATTTTTACTCCTAACCTTCCATACGGATATCAAAGAGGAAATAAAATACGGATATCAATGAGGGCCCATAGAGGCATGATGTTAGTTACTTAGCCTACTTAACCGTGCTACTAGGGACGAAGAGGTTTCTTAAAAGGGGCAAACGCGTCTTCACGAGGCCTCGCCATAATTGGTGCCAAGTGAGAAATATTTTTAAAATTCTAACTTCTACACGCGTATTCACCTTTGGAAACACGCTTTTCGCATTTAATGCAGCACCTATTGCATATGTCAATTATTCGAATTGAATGTCGTGTTTTTGCCACTAGTATAGCAATGCAATTTGACTGACGCTGGACATGTTCTTCCCATACACATATTAAATTTAGATATTCTACATCCTTTTTCGTAGGGTTACCTGCGGATTGCACGGTTCGACAGTTAACCGGAGTTTCCGAAGAAGAGAAAAAGCCCAATGACGGTACGTATAGTATATTCTATTGCACCTATAGCTTCATTTGTAGTACAGTCGGCCACATTTGCATTTTTTTCAGTTAATTCGATTCATTTGATTATAGTTAAGTAAGATAAAAATAATTATGTATGCAGTTAAACAAAATTATCATCAACAAATTTATGTTTACGTTCCATACTATTGAAATACTATTGTGGGAGTTAGGCAGTTAATCTAGTAAGGGACCCCGTACACTCTTGTTATTCTGCCTTGTATAACTTATTAGTTGTAATACTGATTATCTTATGCTGAATTTAATAAATTCAAATTCAAATTTGCCATACCCATACTGTTTTCATACCATACCCATAGTATGGAAATGACAATTATTAAATGCATCCATCATACAATTTCCAGTATACGTATTTTGAACTAAAATCCAGTGTAGGGATAAAACATTACATTTGTTTTCGGGTTTTACGGCGCAGCCTTCATTTCAGATATATTAAGCAGCGATGACTCCGAAGAACCATATGATGATGTGTTAAAGAAAGGTATAAATTTAGTCATAAATTATCTCTGTGTTGCTTTTCGGCCGCCCATACAGTTCTCTTTGGAAGACTCTCGTGAAGCTCGAAAGGCATTATAGTGGATGAATAATCGACATTTTATCTATAGATAAAATATATAAAAAACATAATTATGCATTTTTATAAAGTGGCCGTATTGTAATGGAACATCTTGAATTGGCAAAATAACTATAGAATTAATGACCTGCGCATATGACTTGTTTTTTGAGCAATTTCGCAGTTTAGCCCATTGATGGGTTTGTTGGCTTAAGGTGGCTCGATACAGTATATTTAGTTGCGCTCTTGCGCGTGTAAAAATTAATAGCCTCGCGATATTTGTCTACTTTTATTTTCGAACGCACTGCCAAACATAAACATAAATGCTACAAGAATCCGAACAATCAGAACAGCATGCGCGACGCGTGTTGTTTCACGTGATGGGTGTTTTGGACCCCGCGCGTGTAATTACACATGTTATTAAAAAAATCCATTTTTGGCTAAAAAAGCGCGCTATATCTCGTTATTTCGTATGGTGACCTATGCTGAAATTTTGCATGCTGTATTGTACCCATATCTCCCATAATACCAAAAATGAAAAAATACAATAATGGCAAAAAAAATGATCGAAAAAAATGTCATTTTTGCATTTTTCAAAGATGTGGCATTATAGGATTTTTTTTATATTTTGCTAATTGTTAGTTTTTCTTCCAAGTAAAATAATGCGCGAAAAAAAATTGGGGGTCACCGTGTTTCTTTTCCAACTATCCGAGGCAATTGGTCATTTTGGAGTGAATTTTGCACACGTATGTCGCCATAGCAACGGACAATCTGTCACTAAAACTAATACGATTCAAAAGTGGAGACATCAAAATATATAAAAACCCCAATATCTCTGGAGTAAATAAAAAAATTGCGTTGTTTGAACGTGTCAAAGTTATGAACAATGGAATTTTTTAAAACTGTATCGAGCCACCTAAACTGTAGAAATTGTAAACACGATTATTTATAAACACGTCGTGGCTTGAATCCGTTTGCTTTTTAGCTGAATTTTGTATTTGAATGGAAATTTGACTCGCGTATAATACAACGTTACTTATTGAAGTATTATTTAATTTCAGTTGAAAACGACATTTATGTGAAACCTATAGATGAAAGCGTACTGGAAAAAGTAGGTACGTGAAATCAAATAGACAATTAGCCTTTTTCAGGACAAAGATGCCATTTGGGGGGGTACCAAATCGTGAGCGAAGACGGCGGCTCCATGTCTTCAATTTTAGGTTGGATTTATTCTTCAAATAGACTATATTGATTCTAAAGAAGTGTTTTTTATGGTCTGGTTAAAATCAAATTTTCCAAAATGCTGCCTTTTGAAATTATTATACAAAACTTTATTGAAACGATTAATGAACTTCAAAACGTCTATATAGTAAACTACATTACGAGGGAAGTTTTGCCTTCTTTCTGCTGCACGGCAAATAAATGTATAAAATCATATGCTTTTTGTTATATCACTTACAATGAATGACTAATTCGAAAACTTGAAATCATGTAATCTTGAGAATTACCAAGGGGGATGAGCCCCCCGTAAGCTCTCTTTTAATACATCCATGTTCAAACAGCTCATTGAAGAAAATAGAAGATAGACTACCAAAAGATTGCGTATATTCGTCATCGCGAGAAAGGCTAATTATATATGTAACTAACTGGTCGTATAATTGTAAATATCTGCGTTTTTAGTCGGCATGCTTGTAATGAGTAATTATTTTAGAGTGAAGGTGACTGGTGAGTCTAGTTTTATAGGAAACCAGGTAATCCCAAAACAGTACCTGTGTCATTTTTAAAAGACGTTTTTATACCAACTTTCCGCTAAATTATGTTATACCGTAAACGTGAATGATTTGCGTAAGTAATGCTCGCATGTGAGGGAAAGAGTTGTTGCATGACATGAGATGTACACCGTTATCAATGTCCCTTCGTTATATATTCCAAACAAAGAAAACAAAGGTAATGATAACAGTATTTGTTTATTGATTTTTGATTATTGATTTTTACTACAGCTGTATATATAGACGAATGAATTAAAATATTACAACTGATATACAATGCGTAGATAATCCCCAACAATAAGAAAATACAACTCACGATCTTGTTCTGCATTAGAGCTAATCTGCACTATATCTAATAAGGTGACGCATATAAAATAAGTTAAAACCTTTCCACGCTTACGAAACCCGTCTTGTAATTCAAAAAATTCGTATCAACAGAGCGTCTGACTCAATTTTTTGCCCAGAACTATCACTAAAGAGGTGCAAGTGGTTGTATGTTCTCTTATGTCCATTTTCGCCTTTTAATAGAAATTCTTGATGCTGAGAATGAAACAGAAGTGAAAAAGAAAGGTAAATGAATTGATATCATTTCCTCACAACATTGCAATAAAACTTATTTTGATTTCAAATTTCGACACTTCATATAATTTATAGGTAATTGTATATGTCGTGCAATTTTCGTGAAAGACGAATATACACGATCGTCAGTTTTTTTATAAATCTTAGATATCCGAATCTACATTATATAGGGTGTATAAAAAAAACACAACCACATCCATATTTTAGTGTAAGTGATTTAAGTGATTTAAGTGATGTAGTGTTTTAGGATAATATTGGGTGAAGTGTATAGGTTTATAGGATAATAATTCGTGGATTCTGGACGTAGAATTACTATCACAATGAAAACTTTCACAATGCCATGTTGACAGGTGCTGAATGTAACGAAACTAAGATCGCTCGCACAATTGAGAATTCTGCCGTTCTAAACTCAGTCCAAGCGGAGGGAAACTCGAATTTCGGAAAGAGCGAAAGATTGGATGAAACGTTAGATGACTATTGCAAAGCAAAAAGTGAATCAGAAAAGAAAAAAATGATGAAGATTATCCACAAACGATTGAACTCACTCAGTGCCAACTTCAACAATAACTGTAATATATATCTAGCAGAGTCGAAGCTGCGAGCTTTCTTGCTTCTAAATAACGACACACTCATAAATGATGGAATTAACCTTTATGCATCATTGCTGACTGTTATGGTGCAAAACTCGTTACAACTCATTAACGAGAGATCGTTAAAAAGCCTTTTGGCTAGATTAGAGAGGATTGTGGAACCCTCTAGTTTTTCGGGCATGTCTCGCGTACGTCGAGACATAGAAACCGTAATCAGTTTGCTTTCCGCCGTTACTAAAAAGCTAAAAGACAACAAGATAAGAAACGTAATGAAGCTAATTACGAAAATCAAAGAAGACCCCAGCAAAGAATCTTTGGATAGAAATCTAAAAAAGTACTTGGAGAGCAAATGTTGGATGCAGCATTATCTGGTGTTATCTTCGCTCAAGATGCAGGTAAATTTAGGTGAACTATATTATTCGTGTACGCTGATTACTACTAATCTTTCTTGAGAAGAAGTGGGGGGAGCGAATGTCTGTACAACATGCCATATCAAAATTGAAGATATATAGGAAAGTTCAACTTATTGGCTCATTTGTTTGCATCTCACAGGCCAATCAGAATTTGAATGCCTAAACTTTATGTAAAACGATAAATCATGTTCTTTTTACCGAGAGTGGTCAATATTTATGCATTCTGATTGGGTTACTGAAAATGTAAACAAATTTGCTGATTGGTCTAAAACGAAATTCCTCCAGGTTATGCCTATTCGCATGCACCTGCTGATCTGAGAATAGCAAGACACGGCAGAAGCGCAACAAAACAAAGCTAGCATATCTTAGATATTACGTATCGTTTTTACTAAAAATTGATATCGAACAGTGGCGTAGGAACACGATAATTGGAAGGCCATGACATATATTGTAAACAGACTTGTAAAGACAATCGATTTGAAAAGAAATTGAGTCTTGCACAACATGAATATATGAATATGTGCCCCTACCCCCAATTATCGTGCTTCCCACGTCACTGATAGCGAATCCTTCTATACCGTAAAATATCCTAGAAGGTATCGAAAGTCGAAAAGTGCATTGGAAAAGATCTAGCATTGGAAACGTCCCAATTATAACAGAACGTGCATGAGTTACTTCCCCAACAAATTTCGAGATCGAGCCGATCTCATGCACCACAAATAAAAATTCGATTAGACTCTAAAGATTAGACTGGGAAGATTCACAACTTGCTGTCGAAAGATGGGGTAAGCTGAACAACCCTTTAATAGCATTTATAGTTCTCCTGTGGTTATAATTTTCTACTCCATAAACATTTTTGCAAATTCAAAGGAGCATAGGCAATCCAGCTTAGAATATTAATTCCGAAATATGAATATTCGTTTTTTTTTAAGGTTCTGGGTCAGATTGATGAAGATCTCCTGGCAGCCTTCATGCAGGTTATTGATTGGTTATCAGCTAGTCTAAGTAAGATGGATCCAAGTTATCGATGGAAATTCATCGTTACTGTTGTTGACAGTCTTGCTCAAATAGCAAGAGAAGTTCCAGGTTGGTGAAATGTTCAGTTTTGCATGAAGAAAGCGCCATGACGTTAGTATACAGAAACATTTTTTACGGGCGAGCACATTAATTTCACACTCAAATAAGGCCCTTACGACACATCTTATTAATTTTATCAGTTTTAAGCGCTCTTTATTTTAAAACGTATATAGTCACCATGTTTAGCGAAAATATAAATAGGGCTCAGGACAATTTTCGACATCAGGCAAATTCATTAGTTAGATAACATTTTTGAAGAGGTTTCTTGTTGCAGGAAAAATTATACCGCATATATTAATCAATGGTTTCATTAATTTCGGAATTTGTTTACAAAAATGACGCCATCATTGTTGTTATTGTATTAATGCAGTTTTAGATTTTATCATGCACATAGCGATCACATCGAGTGCAACTAACCCAAATAATTATCATGCACATTGTGGTCACATCGAGCCCAAATAATACTTTCACCCATGTATATATCTTTTGAAAAATCATTAAAGTGTGATAGATTGTACATAAATTAGGTTTTTTGGACTTGTTTTCAACAGATCCCGCGCGTAAAAAAGCAATCGATTGTCTATCCAGTTTATATTTCGTTCTCCAAGAAAAGAAACTTCGTGTTTGTATCGGCCTATTTCGCAAACGCGCGCAAGTTTTAGTTTTCAGTCAAGACATGAACATTCGGAGTAATTTGTTAGAAGGGATTTTTAAAGACCTTGATACAGATACCGAAGAAATGTGTAGAGAGAGACTTGAACTCTGCAAGGATTTGCCACTTACTGCAATCGGAAGTAGACTTCACAGTGGAAACCATGCATGGATTTTTTCCGCGTATTCAAACAGTTTTGAGGTCATTGCAAAGTGCTACAAAGAGAAACGGAATGAACTTCTTGAGAAGAATCTGGGCTCCCAACTAAGTTATTGCGAGTACGAATGCAAATGTTTAAACCAGTTGCGTCATACAAACATCATACGGCTTATTGATTTTGACGAGCGTGTCAAGTGTGTGCTGTTGGAGCCTGTCTCAATTGGAAATCTGCTGAACTACCTAAGGAATCGCCGATCCGATGCACTTGGGCCTACGTTGACGGAGCTGTTGTGGATTGCTGTGAACATTGCAGATGCGTTAAAATATTTAGAACAAAAGGGCATCTTTCATCTGGCAGTGCAGGCGGGAAATGTTCTTCTCCATGAAAGAAATATTGCAAAGTTAACAGGGTTTCAGTTCAGTCGAACAAAGGAACAGATAAAGGAATCTGGGGTGAGAAAAGCCATCGAAAAAAGGCATTTTAAATGGATGGATCCACAAGCACTTCGATTTGAATCTCTTCATCCGAAGACTGTGTCATGGAGTTTTGGGGTCTTTCTTTATGAATTGCTGACCTTGGGTTGCGTTCCATACAACAACCATGGGTCATGTTCAGAACGAGGGGATTTCGAAAGGAAGCCTTTCACCTCGCTCAAGGCAAGAATTTTTGTAAGTATACAGCTGATTCAATGAAGCTTGTGCACTTGCAAAACATTTCACTATAATTTATCAACGGTGAGCGCGCAAGGTATAATAAATGTATGCTCAAATATCCTCTTAAATTGCATGTGTGCCCGAAAATAGGAAAAAATCCGGCCTTGCATGAGAACAGAATAACAACAACCAATCGAAACTCACACAGTTTAATACCCACATAACATCCGATTATTATACGTATATAATTGAAAATTTATAAAGATTACCGATTATTTTTGTTTGTTTATTTTGATTATTTTTAATGTGATCGATGTCCTTTATAATGATGAACTACCTACTAACTTTGATAAAATCAGTTTGCATTTTACAGGTTATACGAGGAGGAAAACCAGGCAAAGAAACTTGTATCCCCAAAGACATATACTCGATCATAAATGAGAACTGTTTCCAAAAGAATTATTCTTCTCGAGCATCGCCACAAGAACTTGAAGGTCTTCTACACAGTCAAATAAGTACGTCTACTATTGTTTGAACCCAGTATACGCCGCAACAGTCCCAACCCACTGATTTTGCTTAAATTCCTCATAAACTGGTTTCCTATTAAACTGGTTACACCCGTTATCTTGTTTCGGCGCACACATATACTCATAGCTAACCTGTCTCTTAATATCAAAAGTTGCTTGAAATAAACTTTTCTAAAATTGTCCATGTTAGCTCGATAAAGTCAGTTTTCAATTTCAACTTTGATTTTTATAGATAATTCAAAGGCATCCGATAAAATTAGTGCTCCCCCAGAGCTAATACTAAACAAAGAAGACTTGAATCCAGAAAATTACAACCCAGGGGTAACTATACGGATTTGGTTTTGTTATACAGTCAGAACTACTGAAATCACCTATGTTGTTAAAATTTAAATGACTTGTTCGCGAATTCAGTTTGCTCGTGGGGATTAATACAACGTATAGTATGCTAAATAGGCCTACATTTGCTAGAGAATTAAGGACATGTCGAAGGTCATGATGCTAGCTTAAGTTGTAAAATATGTGTTGTTATGTTAAATATATATTGTAATCTACGCGGCATAAACAGAAGTCTCACGGTTATCCATATTTGTAAAACGAATAAAAGAAGTCAAACATTTATTTATACACTTGTGCATGGGTCCAAACAGGGTGCTTAGGCATTCAAACTCCAGCTATTACATTGTTATGTGTGATTTCAATGGTTTTGGTTTTTATTGGGACACCCTGTACAGTATACCCAAAAATTACTTTTATTACCAATACGCTTTACAAATATGGATGATAAACAATTATTGGATGAGGTTTTTGTGCGGCATGACCTTCGACATGTCCTTAATTTTCTAAGCGAGCAAAAATTCAAAGTCATTCAAATTTTAACAATAGATTTCAACAGTTTTGGTATTTTTGGGACACCCTGTATATTTATTGTTATATTTTCTGTTTTGAAAAAAATATTGAAAATTTATAGTAAACAGATCTTTTGCATGCGGTATAAGAATTTTCATTGGGGTGAATGCGGTGAGATTTTGCATTTAATTGCTACGCTTTATTCCAATTCTACAAAGTATAAGATTTGACTCTACTTGTGTTTTTCAATTTTGCACGTCAATGCAGGTTAAGAATCGCATCTAGAGTAACTTGCCATATTTATGTTTCCTAATTTAATAGATCGACGATGACGATGATTTCCCCTTTGCCCATCTGGATGTTTTAGGTAGTATAGCGAGGTTGTTTTTTATATTTGACGGGACTTAAGGCCAACACAGGCCGGACGCGATTTAGCAACGCGGCGCGATTTTTCAAAGTATTTGATTTTCCAAAAGCAAATAAATTTTCAACTATCATAATAATCTTGTAGATTACTTAACGATAATACATCTTGACTGCTCTGGTGGATTCCAAATTTTGCCTCCAGAAATTAATTTATATGCCTCTGAAAACTGAAAATTCGCGTCGCGTTGCCGCTTCGTGTCCAGTCTGTGACGCATGAGTTGTGTTTAATCAACATGCATGTAAAATTCATCATGTCACCAAATAATTTGATTTCGAAGAACTTATTCCCTTCTCAGCCATGTCAAGTCAAACTGCTTTTTCTCTCAATTGAACTCTAAAAGCATGCGTTTAGCTGGAATTTTGCAAAATAACATGAAAGACCAAATCTCTTGCTGTCGTTAAATATTGATGAATTTTACATTCGGTTTGTGTTTTAGCTTTTTGGCATTCTAAGACGCCTTTCAGCTGTGCGAATGCATTTTTATGCCCGGTGAAGGTAAATTATTTGCCTTTTCATATTTCAGAACACGTTTGGAATAAAGAATATCTTGATCACGAATTTGCAAATGAGGTAACATTTCAGTCGACAAAGCAATGTGCTTCCTTTATCAGCATGCAGTTCCTGGATATTCCGATCAGTCTGCATTACACTGATAAATTCCTTATCACAACTTCGCCTAAATAGTTTAAACCGCGGACCTAAATAAACGCATCTCCACTAACATTCTTTCAGGAAGGGTACACCAACGCAGATCCTTTTCAATGCGAACCAGTTTTGTGTGTAATAAAACGCCAACAGGAGGTAAATATACCCAAAAATCAAGATAGTGTCAACTTCAAGGTAACAATAAGAACATCCTAGTAGTTATTGAGACAAAAAATACTGTGAATTGTTCTTATATATCTCCTATTTATTTTTATTTTGTCCGTTTTTTATGGTATAGTCATTGTATCCGCATGTGAGTGGCATCGATTGTGCAAATATTTAAATCACACGAGCTAGACCTCTTTGGGAATTTTCTCATTGAAGCGGTGACTAAATTTGAGCCAACTGAAGGCTATAATTAGAGTTCAAGATGAATTTCAAATTATATTTTTGTGTAAGGGATATCTTTAAAGTGTAGAAGAATTGATGGACGACTTATGCTCAATGGCGGATGTTAAAACACGATGTTAATGTTATACCTTTTTCCGCATTCATCGGTTTCATGCGACGTAATATCATATCAGTCAAACATTTGCGGGTGACTATATACCTCTTAAATCGCCAATTAAAATGCTTAGTGAGACCCACCAATAGGCCTGGGTATAAGTGCGATGTATAACTTTTATTTTATAAATTCCATTTTAGGGTAAGGAATGCGAAGAAATTTGCGTGCTTGAATACATGGAATTTAAGGATATAAAATTGGTTGAAAAATTACAAACTCTGAACTGTCCAGAACTTATCAAAGTTATTGCAGTCAATCCTTACGGTCCACACACATTAGAAATGGTTAGTAATTAAACGTATACATGCATGTTTCTTTATAAACGGCAGAAAATAATCCGGTTAAGGAGGCTCACCTGCCTCACCATGCAATAACATCACCCCAGTCCCCAGTCTGCAAATAGCAGTTTTTAAGTATTAAAATACTCAGTTGAAAAAACACAAGTCGAAGAATACGGACGTAATGAATGCAGATGAAATAGGAAAACAAACATTTTCTCACCGATATTTAACACAATGTTTAACAAGTCACCAACATTTTACGCCTGCTGCGGGAAAGCGTAGTTTTTCTCGCTAAAGACAGGTTTTCATACAGAGTAATTCGTCCTAATTCACTATTCCTGTATTGAAACTCTACGTTTTAGATTTCCGAAAGTTTCCCGCAGGGTAACATTCTTGATGCGATGCTTCAACGTCCTGAACTTCGTCTATATTATAAATTGTACATTTATCAAGCTGCAGCAGCCGTTTCCTATCTCCACCAACAAGGAATCGTGCACCGAAATTTGAAAGTCGAAAACTATCTGTTGGCGAATGATCAAAGCGTAGGTTTATCATACGGTTATTCGGGTTATATCTTATTATATGATTGAACGTTTAATCAAACGTGTAACTTCTACGAAATATACTTATTTCGATTCTAATTAGATCAAACTGGGTTGCCTTGGGATGTCTATGGAGGAAGTGGATCCGAATGCTTTATATTTTGAAACAATTGAAAAGACAAAGATAATTACAGATGCTCGAAGGTATATATTCTGACTTTGCAGTGATGGTTACTTTTGTAGCTGATATGTTTTGGTCGTCGACTGAAAAACATTGATGCATGTAATAATCTTATCATAACCGAGTGTGAAGTGAAGAGACAATTTTAGAGCTAAAGGGTTTTCCGGTTAAATCGAAGACTTTTCATTAATATAAACAATATCGATATTATAAACACCTCCTTTTAAGTATTTACAAAACATGCATGACTTCCCAGCTAGTAAGGAGTGCTTGGAATTTTCGTTTAGGGACGCACCAGAAGTTTTAAATTACGGTTTTTACTCACAAAAAAGCGATGTTTGGTCTTTTGGAGTTGTTGTATGGGAATTTGTGAGTGTCGCAAACAGTTCAGGTACGAAGAGGCAAGATGTTCTTCCATACAGCCATGTATCGGATAATGAGGTACATTAATTGAACATTATAAATTTTATGAAAAGCGAAATTTGTTTATTATAGTTACATGTGTTTGGAATACCACAAAAATGTTCCAAAATAGTATCGATGTCTATAATATCGATCTTTACAACTGGGCTCAACTGAAAATGGGCCCTGAATAATTTACTTAGTTATTATTTGCGCTTCAGACTAATTTCTTACCTCGGTGATAAAAAGGACATTTTCTGAAAGAGCTTACTAAAATTAGTATAAAACTGCCAAGTTTGGCTGCGAATTGTTGTAAATTACGGAAAATATATATATATATATATATAGCCATGTGAATTTCGCAGCCAAACTTTGCATTTTGACTAATTTAAATAAGATCTTTCTTAGCTGTGCCTGCATGTGATGATTAATTTTTTTCTAGTTACTTCGATCAATAATTATATACTCTAAAGCGCAAGACGTCCATTAAGTTCGGTGATCATGCAGTCTGTTGAAAGGACTATGCCCTTCCCTCTGGAAAATGATCTAAGAACGGCTTTTGCTATTATTTACCATACAAAAATAATTTAAAAATTAACATCAACTGTTATTATAAAGGTATTAGCCTTGGTGATGGAACAAAACATGCTTCAAAACCCAGATCGCGGTTCTCAATTTTTGTACAATGTCTATAAAAGATGTTGTAACTGGTATGCCAGCGATCGCCCGAAAGCGTCAACTGTTCATACGATACTAAGGAAAAGGTACATTAGCTACATACGGTTACCTTTCATAATGTATTCGTACCTTTTTAAAATATTGTTGTAGACATGGCTCTCTTACAAATTGGGTAAAGGATTAGAAAAAGAGAAACACAATGGTTGAAATGGCTACATTCACCTCATATGATGGCCTATAGTTCACATTTAAATCCTGGTTACTTGTTATCTGTTTATATGAGTGTGTAGCCTAATCTCAGTTACATGTTTTGCTTATAGAAATTACCATTTAATACCTCAACCCGCACTTAAACAACCTGTAAGGTAACCACGATCCTTGCCATCAAGGTATGTACATAACGATTTTTATACCGTAAGGTATTTAATCTGATAAATTAACTATGACTGAATTTAGCTTTCACTATGTTTTACATTTAGAAATTACCATTTAATGCACGAGCTTTCCCCTAAACCACTTGTAAGGTCCTGGTCAGTACCATCAAGGTAAATACATAACATTTATTAAAAGAGAAAATCTTGTTTACAACGGGAGTACTATACAAATCATAAAATAATGAGCGTTGCCTTTTAGTAAGGTAATGTTTAGGGCAATGATGCCGGAAACATTCATAAAAGTTAGTGGCGTAGAAGACGTATTTCCATTTGATTTGTAAGTGCGCGAGTTTATTAGATGAGCAAAATATGTTTTCATTTACAGGATGGACCTTATTCCTATTTCATATAGCCATGATGGTCACCTTCAGATATTGGAGGAACTTCTAAAAAGGTACACGCGTGTTGAATTTAACTGAAGAAAATTTTCATCAACCATACTGATGCAAATCAAGCTTTGCTTACAATCTTAACTCATGCCATTCAATTCCTATCACATCATTTACTGTATAACTATCTACCACTTACATCAAGATCCAAATAAGTCCCTAGTCAATATTTCCATCAGTTTTAGTAGAAATTAGTCATTAGATTGAACGGAACATCCCTCGATTTTCTGATAGATCAAGCATGCATCGTATTTACTCTCAAAGTCAAAGCTTAATTGATTATATTAATCATATACTATAATTAATACATGAATTGTTTTACAAGATATAGACAACGCAGATTATTTATCTCAGGAGAGCCTTAATAATATTTCATATTACAGCAATGATGGTTACTCTGATGAAAACATGTACGAAACCTACAGGTATGATACAAGTAGGGATAACTGGATTAGGATAAACAGATATAGGAATTACTCAGACCGAGTCCGCGGTGATTTCAGGAGCGAACATGAGATGAATATAAATATTATACCTCAAATTCAAATTGTTTAATCAAAAAATATTACATGTACCATGTGAGGAGAAATTTTTCGCTGTATCGCATTTCAGTCCCCTACTTCCGAGCTAGGGGTTTGAAATTTATCACACCGTGATATTAGATTTATCTCACGCGACGTCTCGCGAGGACTACACGCACCCACTGAAAATAATAGCTGGAATAGTGTTGCTGTTTGTTTGAAGTCAAGAAATTAACGATTGTGACGAGAAAATTAACCGTATTCTCCACGAAAGACATACAGAAAACACAAAAGTGAAACATTTGTACTGTATGTTTGCCTCTTCTAAGAGCTCAAATACTTTTTCGGTATAATAATTACATCATTTATAGACCCTCCGCCATAACTTCGGGAAATATTTCGCCGAATCCTCCGAGCGAAGGGTTCATAAATGATAACGAGAAACTGCGATTAGGGGAATTCAACAATCAAGTCAACCATGCAATAATGTGCAAAACAAAAAAAAAATTTCGCCAATTCTGTCGATTCAGTCGGCTCTAGATCTGCGAGTTTTTTTCCCTAAAATAGTCAGAAGCATCTATAAATGTGATTTATTTAGTAAGAGGTTAATTTTGTCTCCATGCACCCAAATACCGTTATTTATCTGTTGGCTTTCAATCAATGTATAAATACCAGAAATTAATATACAATGATTAATAATTGTATGTTTGTAGCATTGCATCTACGAATACGGATGAGCATATGACGTGGTAAGCAAGAAAAGCATTTAAAGTGTTTTTACATAAATTTAATGTAAAAATATTATTAAACTTCAGGGGGAAAGTAGAACAACATTCTGGTCAGTCGCATCGTAACGCAAAGAGGTAAGTGCGTAGCTATATATCTAAGAAATTCTTTATAAAATTATAGCGTTCTCATTTTTTCGATATTCTTTCTTTCATATTTTTGTCCTTATCACAAATGACGTCATACCGTGTATCGACAAGAGAACAGACAACGGTTAAATGTTATCTATATTTGTTAAAGAAATTATATTGCCACAATTATGAGATAAAATTGCCGAAATTTGATTTACAGTTTGTTCTCCACACTTTTTCCCTCGAGTACAATATAGTCCCAGGGAAAGCCATTTTGAAGCCATCAGTAAAATTACGAAATATAGCTAAATTGAATAAGAAATATCTTCTGTAGCCTGTAAGTTGAGTAATTCAGAAAATGTCGCTTGTAGAGTGTTATTTATTTTATTCTTTTTTATTTAGTGGTCATTATTCGCTCGCATCAATATTTAACAAATTCAAGGTAATGACGACTCGATCACCGAGGAGATTAGCTTTGTAGAAAATGAATGAGCTACCATCAGATACGATTTTGCTCAAGTATTAGAAACAATTCAATTTCTGGCCGACTCGTTTGTTATTGGGTAGCAAATATATATGGTCTGACAGACACACTAAAACTAATGATAATTAATTAATTTGCCGAAATCTATCAATTTCATAACGTTATTATATTGAATTGATTTTTTAACATATTTACTTTTTTGTGTAATTTATTTCTTTTTAATTTATATTTGTATAATTTATTCTATATATAGAAATATTCTTCAGAAAAGTCGATCAATCTAAAGCCAAGGTAGCTTCTTCGGAATGGATAGTACTAAAATGCTCATGCATTCATTTCAATTTTTTCCTCAATATTAACGACTGAACAAATTAAACATTTGTTGCATAATAAACCTCCGAATACAGCATAGCAAAATGTTGCATATGGTAAAAATAATGTTCGCGAATGGAAAGCATTTTTCCACTTTTAATGCCTTTTGAATAGTGAATGGTGATATTAACTTTTTTGGGCAAATAAAGTTCGCGATTTTTCCATGAAAGGCAGTAATAAATTTCCTGTAATTTTTGTTACAGGTCTCCGTCGGACAAAAATCAAGAAATTGAACAGGAATTAGATGAAGACCACTATGTAAGTGAGAACTTTTGACAAATTATTTAATTGGGTTCTTCTGAATTTGAGTTCTTTCGTGAACCACTTTAAATAAACTTGCGCATAAAATCATGGAGCCAAAGTTGCAGCATTCCTAGCAAAATTTGTTATCGCTGAATCCATCAAAATGTCATAAGATTACACGGTTCCCTGAAACAGATCAATTTCAATTTATAACAATCAAATTCAATTGATAGCTTCTCGTTAATCATGCGATTTGGTACAATGTTACCTCTATTAATTACACATCTCCAAGACGACTAAGTCTGCTAGTTGTCTTTGAATCGATAATAAATATGTCGATTGACAATATAAGCCAATAAAAACTGTGTGAGGAATAGAGGTGAATATGTTTGCTTTTTCAGCAAACAAAATTCACCTAAAAATAGTACAATTTGAAATTGGGTGTATTAGCAAAGAAATATGCATGTAGAAAGATTGTCTGGCCTAAACTAAACTTTCTTTACTAGTGCATGTTTACTGCTGTTTAAGTTAATGCATGCTTCAATCTTCTATTCTGATTGGTTGACGCGCGGTCCGTAAAAACCATAACCGTGGTCCGAATATTCAGCCATATAATAAACAGATTATTGACCTCGCTTGTTCGGTCTGTACTGTGAAATATCAGACCGAGGTTTTTTGCATGGACCCCGCTCCTTCGTCGCTCAATCCATACTAAATAGCCTCGGTCTGATATTTCACTGTACACACCTCACGCTCGGTCAATAGTCTGTTCAGTATTATACGGGAATACATTTATACTTTTTGACATGTTTGATACTTCTTTACAGGAGATTATTGAAGAGCTGAAAAGCCCTGGAGTCCTTAAAAAATCTTTGAAAAGGTAAGTTTTTTCTTTTTTTCAGTCTACTTCGAGGAAAAGCGAAACGACATTGGCGAATATATTATATGTAGTCTTCTACAGCTATTCAAAAACAATTAAACCAGCAATTTCTAAGAGTGACAATGCATTTATCCTGACGTTTCTAATATATGCATTTGTACATCGAAAATCAAAATAACAGTTTAAAATACGAACTGATTCTCATTACACCACAAGAATGGTGCCGTACCCCGGATGTAATAGCGCCGTACCCCGGATGTAGTGGCGTATGAGTTCTACGAGTGTTTTAGTTCTCAGTAAAATACCCCTATAATAAATATAATAAAGTCCACACAGACAAACTGAAATAAATACTGCGTACTTTCCTGCCTTGATCAAATTAGTCCGTCTAAGGTGTAAGCTTCACAAATTATTCGCAGCCTCGACGATGGCATAGCGCTGTTTTTTTTGTTTTTGCTATTGTGTTTTGTCATTTTCTGAAAGTTGATATAAAACAATTGAAAGCAACTAGTTACAAATCTCTCGCTTTCTTTCTAATATAGAAGCCAAAGAGAAGAAATGAACAAAGATGATGTAAGTGCACGAGAAACCTAATAGACTTCTTCGGTAATTAGCTAACGTCGCGGTTTTCAATTATTAGAACTTCTTTAAATGAAATGTATTTCACGATTTTAACTCGCAGATTATGCTTTGACTATAAAAGAAGCAAAACATCCTTATTAAACTTATTCATTAATTTCTTTAGCTACTTTCACGCATAAAATTAATGTGGGGTTTAGAAAAATAAGTTTTTAAAATCTAACAGTGTCGAATTATGTGTAGCATCTTTCCACATGGTAGTGAGGGTAAAATTTCATTTAATTGAGGTTATTCTAAACGCTAAAGTTGTGACGCAACTTACGTGAAGGGTCTATTGATGTGCACCGTTCTTCTGTTCATGCATGCATGTGACATCAAATGACTTTCATTTTTAAAATGGTAATGTAAAATTTGGTAAGAAAGACCACACCGAAACTGCTAGAGTTGCGAGTTTGTTTGTAAAATGTTTTAGAATGCGAAAAATGGGACCTGGCGAAGTTTGCAAATTTTGTTTAATTATTGTACTGTGCGCAGAAATGATTATATTGTTGGCAGTTTCAGCAGAAAATCAGAACAATGGTACCCAGGCCATGCGCCATGCAGTGTGTCTAATTCTCCACGTTTATTTATAGCACGACCATCATGTACATAGCTATACTGACTTACAACTTTTTCACTAATTTCTGATTATGAATAACAAGGATATATATTCTCGTGTTACAAGATTTTTTGCTTTATTCACAGCCGGATACACCGCCGCCAGTTCCTCCAAGGTAAATAAATGCAT